ATCACCGGGGCCCAGATTAACTCAGATGAGGCAAAGCACGTCAGAAAAGCACAAAATATCAGAGAATATGCGCTGATATGAACGATCGCAAGTGAATTATTTTGTTTTAGTGGAGCGATTTTGTGAACGTTGCAGTGGCCACGTGCAGGACGCAGCTGGAGTAGTTGAGCCGTTACCGCGGCGTCCTCTCTGCCCGCAAAGCTGAGTCCATAAATGACGTAATATATACTGGATCTTTCTTCGGGTTTCCCGCAATTTGAATTTTTAAGGAACACATCTTGATTCTGGGTTTAAAAATGCATTGTAATTACCACGTTACTGACAATTGTACCGAGTAAATATTACCATTTTCTTTCCCTGTAATGCCTTACATTACCACATTACAGCAAAAAGCAATGCATTACAGTAATTAATTACTTTTGTACCGCATTACTCCCAACACTGTGTACCATGAAACCACTTCACAGTACTAGGAGTCCATTAAAACCTATAAAGAGAGTGATCCTGGAAGAAATGGGGCACACACTAGTGACCTCAACAATTGCAAGACCTTTTCCCCGATGCTCAGATGGGGAAAAAAAGGAACTTTCATGAAGACATTAGGACTTTATCACCGTTGAACAAAAATAATAGTGCATAATAATCAATGTTGATGTTAATCAATTAGATGTTCTAGACTCTACTTAATAATACAGCAGTCCCTCGTTTATCACAGGAGTTACGTTCTAAAAATAACCCGCCGTAGGTGAAATCCATGAAGTAGCCAACTTTATTTTTTACAATTATTGTAGATGTTAAGACTGTAAAACACCTCACTACATGGTTTATACACTTTTTTCAGACGGGCACACTTCTTAATGCTCTCTGATCGCTATGGTAATGCGTAAATAGTTCTTTCAAAATAAGACACACAACTACAACCATACATTTCACACAGGAGCCTTTTATTTCTCAGCAGCATCAATAGTAACAAAATCGCTATTTAGTTTTCGCTGTCAAAGTCGATTTAACTAAAGTTACGTGTTTCTGGTTACTGTGGAGGTCACGTGTTTCCGGCTACTGTGGAGGTCACGTGTTTCCGGTTACTGTGGATTTCCACAGCGGCTGCAGCCAGATGCTTCTTGAGGTAAACACACGCTTCGCGCGAGCGTAAACGCGTGTAATAATTACCTTCTCTGTTGCATAAAACCAGTGAACGATGTGCTCGCTGCTTGGCGCCTCTGGAACTCGGTTTCCTCTGGAGGACGGAAGAGCCGTGATTCTGGGCCGGGGTCCGGACACTGGAGTCACCGATAAGAGATGCTCCAGGCACCAGGGTGAGTGAAGACCGCATATCGGCTGTTCTCATGGATCCCTGGTTCAGCGGTGTGAGCGCTTGTACTTGTTCTTACTTCCTACTGAGGAACATCATGAGGTTTTAACCAACAGAAAAGCTTACCAGTTGGTTTTAGGTGTGTGTGTGTGTCGCGGTTGAAGGAAATAAACGATATATAAAAACGTACACCATCTGTAACTTACCAGAATGAAAATACTACAGAAGGTGATGTTTGGTCGCCTTACAGCTGCGATCCAACAAGACTTTGTTGAAGAAAAATGGGAGGTGGCCACCACCGCCATTTTGACCGTGTCACAGGTTCCGTCAAGCCCAGACAATTCCATAAAAGGGAAGAGAGGAAGAGCTGAGGGTGGGGCTGTAAGGCTGGGATCAACTGACGACACCCGGTCGAACTAGCTACAAGCAAAGCTAATGCGGAGGTGGGAGCTAAGCTAACGGAGGTAGCAACCTAGCTACAACCGGAGTTAACTGTGCACAACACCAGAGCTTCTGAGTCAGAGATACGCCGGGCTGACCGCTGGGTAAAACCGGGTGGAACACAGAGGTTTCCCGAGAGCTCCACAAGCCGGCAGCCGCACAGCAGACAAGCGCCGCTGCGATCTGAGATGCGCAGAGCTGCCGCTGGGGAGAACCGGGTGGAAAACTTCGGTCTCCCGAGAGCTCCACAAGCCGATAGTCGGAACCCAGCTCCACCAACATGTTATATTTCAACCCATTTTCTAAAGTGCAGCATTATGTTAAATGCACTGGGTTTTACCCTATTGCATTTAAATTTCACGGTTTAACAGTAAATGTCAAAATCTAAGCTCAGCTCGGCAGTGACCTAAAATACATAAATATAATTTTACTTGCCGAAAAAAATGAAGTGGAGACTCCTTGGACGCTCTATTAGTGCAATTAATGCCACAGCAAGTCATTTTGTCCAACAATGCACAAAAAATATCCAAAAAAGAATACACAAACGCTACAACTAATGGTCTATGTTGAGAGACTGAAAATGACGGAGCAGTTTCCAAGCCAGACCGAGGCTCAGGCTGAGGCCTTTCTCCGGAGCTAGCTCTGTGGTCACGTGGGTCTGATGCTCATTAATTATACAGAATTTTAGGCTTTTAATACACTTAAACAAAAGAGTGAGAAAAAAATTCACCTCCCTCAGAGTTGTCATGAGTGTAAACTAGATCATTTAAACCAAAAACATGTTTTGGTACCAGGCTGTAAACATGTTTATTTCTGCTGTGAAATTGGTATTTTTAACATGGGAGTCAATGAGGATTTGCTCGCTTCTGACACCAGCCCCTAGTGGATGAGGGTGGAACTGCAATTTATTTCACTTCCGCATTGGACTAAATTTCTGTCCTGCATTGTGGGGGCTTGACTCACACGCCTCCAACGGGACATTTATCTGTAGTACTGTAACGCTATTGTTCGTTTTTCTGTACTCTTTTGCAATGTATTGCATATTTTGTAAATGTTAAAAAAAAGTTTATTGCCTCGAAAATAAAAGCAAATAATAAGATTTGTCTACCCGCAAAAAAAGCCTCCAACGGGGCAGACGCGTCAGTGATGACTTCACCATCGCACGCCCTAGAGATCAGCATGGGGTAGGCATAGTGGAGTCACTAAAATGAATGGGAGGCAATAAAGGTCCACACAAACATACAAATATGTGTGTGCGTGCGTGTAAACTTTGCACACCAACATCGGCAGAAAAGAAAGTATTGCAGATCAAATAAATTCAGTCTGGACCACACATGCACATCAGTCCTTTAATCCAGGACTGCAGGTTGTTCTAAAAGCGTCCCGACAAGGACATTTAGATCTAAATTTTTGGGTTTTTAAAAGCGTTGTTGTACTGTAAACTTGGTACCAGTTTCACCATCAGCAACACACACACGAATCCTGAGCATTGAAATAACAGGAAATAAAAGGACAAAGGTGACCAGCAGTGAACTCTGTGTTTTGACCAGGGTTTTTCCTGCATTCAAATTTGCGTGGCGGCCGCCTCCAGCTAATTTTGTGCCGCCCCAGCCTGATTTCACTCTGCCCCCAGTTATATGGATGGTAGTTTAACTGCAGCTGCAGCGTTGCGCCACTACAGGAGCGCTGGATCAGCAGTGGTGCACCGAAAAGCACTAAAACCGCTGCAGACAAAGATAAAAAAAATAGCTTTTCTCGCTAGTTGGTACATTATGGTTGGTGCTATTGCTGTCCTGATTTCCCCCAGGCTCTTCCATATCAGAGCAGGGCTGTACAGTGGTGTCTGTCTATTTTTAAACGTAGCACTGGTGCAACATCTTTGAATTTCTATTGTCCCCAGAACTTTATTGAACAAAAGTAAGTTACGTGTAAGAAAAATGCTTTTTACTGGTGCACAGTGTGGTCATCTGGATGCAGTGGAGGAAAATAAAGGAACCAGCAAAGGCAGAACCGGTCCAAAGTTTGGGATCAAAGGTGCAGCTACACGCAGATTGGCTAATGCTAAAGCTAACAGGTAGCTGTCTCACGATCAAGTGGCGCTCAGAAAAATATGTGATGATTTAAAACTAAGAAAGACTAAACTCTACAAGCGGATGAAGTCCCCACCATCCTGTCCTGCAGCGCTACGGATCAGAACCGCTGCAGATATGAGTCACATTACTGCTACATGTTACCGCAAGCCGTTGTAGTATACACACACCGGAGTAACTGAAGTAACGCTGAGTAACGCGTCTATCCTTGAACATAATTTAAACTGGATTATTGCTAACCCGTACATAATAGACATGCCACAGTTACATTGTTAGCAGCAGAAATTAAATGTTACCATTTCCAACACAAATGCATGTTAATGAAATGCTTCATATTTTACTGGATATATTTATGTGTTATTTAGACTAAGATGAGTGTTATTAATACAAACCTAAAATGTTACTGAAATTATTATTATTATAATATTATAACTATAAATATCAGATGGAAAAAAGGAACTAAACACCAATCTAACGCATATTATTGAGCCTTTTATAATATTTAGCCTTTAAAAAAGTGAGGCAGTTGAATGCACAGAGTACACATGTGCTGGTGCATGGTCAGGATGGTGCCACCTCTGCCTCAGTTTGAGCCAGGAAAAATCCTGTTGGCCTTAAAGTTATTTCACATCTAAAGGCCCTTATTGAAGAAATCTTTTGTAGTTTCTAGAACCTTTTCAGGAACCAGCCCCCTTTTGTGTGCGTCCGTGCAGATAGGAACTAGGAACCTTTTCTCATAGTTCCTAGAACCATTTTACGCTGAGGCTGGGACTGTCTGTGGTTCCTGAGGAAGTAACGTGACGTCGGCGCTTGGTGAGCTCCGCCTCTTGCTTGATTTCGTGTTTGTTTATTTAGAAACAAACCGGACTGCATCCCGGATACTCCTGCTGCCGCCATCACACCCCGCCAAAACCCAACAGGTAAAGAAAACAGTCTTCATGCATTTATAAAGGTTTCATCTCTTCTCTTGATATAGCGGAAGGAAATTGTCCATTTTAGGAATTACATCTCTGAGAGAAAGCTGGCGATGGCGAGCATGTGTTTGTACCAAATTAATATGTAATCATTTAGCTTTATTTTTGGTGAATTTCTACTTTGTTCTTGATGTTCGCATGCATGAACACAAACAACACGCACACACACACACACGAGTTAAATGTCTTAAATTATATATATTGTGTGTATGAATGTTCTGATATAAGCAGCACAGAGTTGCTATCAGCTGTAGTACGTTATTATTGTGGGCTTGTTTGATTAATATGTGTGGTTTATAACTTATCCTGACACTGTGTGTTACTGATGAAGGTATTTTATTAACTTGTTTTATTCTGAAATGTTTATCCATCCAGCTGCTACACCAGAGCCAGCATCTGCACAGACATCAGCTTCTTCCAGCCAGCTGCTGGCAGCCTTTGCCCCCTACACCAGGTACACAACTGTCTTATTCTATATGTAAATGTGTAATCTCTGTGGTCATCAACGTGGTTTAATTCTAAAATATTTGATACTTCAGCATCTACACTGCACCTACAACCTACCACCTACCAGCAGCCCTGCCACCCCAGACCTGGTACACACATCTCACTCCACAGAATTAGATTTTAGTGTATTATATGACACTTGTGTGTTAATTCTATCTCCACCCTCCATGTTTTTCTCCAGGAAGGAGAAAAAAAGGTGACATACTTCTGGCTACTGAGCAGGAGATGCTCGGGTCAGAGGCTGAACAGGAGGCAGAGAGATGAACGGTTTGATACTATGATGCAGTTCTTCTGGGAGCTGACAGAGAGGGAGTCTAAAGAACATCCAGCTCAGGAGGAGCCAGCCACCAGCAGAAGCTCATGGAGGGTCTCTTGTCTGCAGCGAACACGTGAGCAGATAAAAAGAAGTGAACTTGTGACTACACGTGCACAAAACATATCATGCACATGTGAACAGTTATTTTTACACAAAATACTTGAGTTTGTAGCAGGCATGTTTTTAATAAATGACTTTAAGAGTTAAAAGTATTCTTTGTCTCGGAGTGATGTCAGCTAGATGTAGTTTGGTCACTAAATATGAACTATTAGCTCACATTAGGCCTTTCTTATCCTCAGGTGTGTAATCTACTCCAGTTACTCAGGTGTGTAATCTACTCCAGTTACTCAGGTGTGTAATCTACTCCAGTTACTCAGGTGTGTAATCTACTCCAGTTACTCAGGTGTGTAATCTACTCCAGTTGTTCGGGTGTGTAATCTACTCCAGTTACTCAGGTGTGTAATCTACTCCAGTTACTCAGGTGTGTAATCTACTCCAGTTGCTCGGGTGTGTAATCTACTCCAGTTACTCAGGTGTGTATTCTACACCAGTTACTCAGGTGTGTAATCTACTCCAGTTACTCAGGTGTGTAATCTACTCCAGTTACTCGGGTGTGTAATCTACTCCAGTTACTCAGGTGTGTATTCTACTCCAGTTACTCAGGTGTGTATTCTACTCCAGTTACTCAGGTGTGTAATCTACTCCAGTTACTCAGGTGTGTATTCTACTCCAGTTACTCAGGTGTGTAATCTACTCCAGTTACTCGGGTGTGTAATCTACTCCAGTTACTCGGGTGTGTAATCTACTCCAGTTACTCGGGTGTGTAATCTACTCCAGTTACTCGGGTGTGTATTCTACTCCAGTTACTCAGGTGTGTATTCTACTCCAGTTACTCAGGTGTGTATTCTACTCCAGTTACTCGGGTGTGTAATCTACTCCAGTTACTCAGGAGTGTAATCTACTCCAGTTACTCAGGAGTGTAATCTACTCCAGTTACTCAGGAGTGTAATCTACTCCAGTTACTCAGGTGTGTATTCTACTCCAGTTACTCAGGTGTGTATTCTACTCCAGTTACTCAGGTGTGTATTCTACTCCAGTTACTCAGGTGTGTAATCTACTCCAGTTACTCGGGTGTGTAATCTACTCCAGTTACTCGGGTGTGTAATCTACTCCAGTTACTCAGGAGTGTAATCTACTCCAGTTACTCGGGTGTGTAATCTACTCCAGTTACTCAGGTGTGTATTCTACTCCAGTTACTCAGGTGTGTATTCTACTCAAGTTACTCAGGTGTGTAATCTACTCCAGTTACTCAGGTGTGTAATCTACTCCAGTTACTTGGGTGTGTAATCTATTCCAGTTACTCAGCTCTATAATAGCCCAGATTACAGCAGGAAGTGGATCACATGTAACAAAGGTCAGACACCTCAACTGCCTCCTCCTGAGGTGGAAGAGCAGCAGGTCTACTCCGAGCCCCTCCCGGATGACCGAGCTTCTCACCCTATCTCTAAGGGAGAGCCCAGCCACCCTGCAGAGAAAACTCATTTCGGCCGCTTTTATCCGTGATCTCGTTCTTTCAGTCACTACCCAAATCTCGTGACCACAGGTGAGGGTAGGAACGTAGATCGACCGGTAAATCGAGAGCTTTGCCTTCCGGCTCAGCTCTCTCCTCACAACAGATTGGTACTATGCCCACAAGCTCCTCTGTGGCAAGGCCCCGGTTGATGAGAGCTGTCCGGTGTTCCTTAAGGCTCAGGATTTAAATGGTTGACGCGGCTCTGCAGTATCGCGTAGATATCAGGGTGCAGTTCCACTGGATTGGCAGACTGAGGTAGTGGTCTCTTTATTTAAAATCAATTTCCCTCTGGGATTATTAAAGTATTTTTGAATTGAATTCAATTCAATTGAATAGAATTAACTCCTTCAATGCCATTGACAGCTAAAGTCATCATTTGCATTTTTTTACTGTGTGGGTGTCGGGCGAGCCCCCGCACCGTAAGAACAAACTTCCCAGCTCTATATCCTTAGGGGGATCCTGAAGGGTGCGTGGGAGTTTGCCCAACCATCTACATGTGTTTTGTGGATTTGAAGAAGGCGTCTGACCGTGTCCCTTGGGGGGTTCTCATTTCTCATTTATTCTGATCCCCATTAGCTGTAACTTGTACAGCTACTCTTCCTGGAGTCGATGTAATTCAATGCAAAATTTTTACATGTATAATAATGCTCATAGAATATATATACAACAAAATCAATATAAAATAACATAACCCCCTCCCCCAACACGCACACACACACACACACACGTACACACACACACACAATTATTCTCAGGTCATAGTCAGTCAGAAATAATAAATCCCATTCTTTTTCTTGGTATAATTTCCTAATTTCTCATTAAATGCTGTTTTAATTTGTCCTTAAACTGATATTTAATGTTAGCTGCTTTAACAATGTTATGGGCAAAGCATTCCAAACAGACATTGCTCTGCAAACCAAAGTTCTTTTTCCATTATTTGTTTTAACTTTGGGTAGAATAAACCTTCTGTAGCATGTCTAGTGGCATAGTTGTGTTCTTCAGAGCTAAAGCCGAGTCCCAGATAAAGTACTGTTGGTTGTTTATTTAAAATTATGTTCCTTGTCTTTTTTAACAGGGATGCTGTGAATCTATCTATTACCTTTAGCCATAACATTTTTTTATGCATCCAATTCACATTGGTACTGAAAGTCCACCGAAGTGCACATCGAGCTGCTCTATTTTGTACTGTTTGTAGAGCCATTATATGTGTCGCTGCAGCACAAGACAAAACCTCTGAACAATAGTCCATCTGTGACTAGGGATGGGTACCGAATTCTGTACTTTTTAAGGTACCGACCGAATTCCATAGTACCGACCGAGCACCGATTCACCTCATTTGAAACGGAGCCTCGTTTCGGTACCCGTCCTTCACAACGAGAACTTGCCTAGACAGCTGCGCATGCGCAAGAGCGTTACGTCATCGGTCGCTGCGAGCGAGTTGTAAACAGAGCAGCATGGTAGAAAGAACGCACGCTAAAGCTTGGGTCATCTTCACCAAATGTGATGGGCAACTGGGTGATGATGAAACCAGCGACAACGATCTAAGTGAGACATCCTCATCTTAATCTGCTCCGGTAGGTAAATAAAATGTTTAAGATAACATTAGCTTGATATGTTAGCTTCCGTTTCGCTAATGGTGCGTTCGCTTTCTCCTCGGAACTCCGAATTCCCGACTAGAAGAACATGAACGCGCTCTAAAGTTTGGCTTCACTTCACTAAATGCGACGGGTGATTGGGTGAAGATGAAACCAGTGACAACGATCTAAGTGTGAGGCATCATCGTTTTAATCTGCTCCAGCAGCTAAATAAACTGTTTAAGATAACGTTAGCTTGGTATGTTAGCTTCCATTGCCACCATTGTTATCGTCTAATGGTGTGTTCACTTTCTCCTCGGAAATTCTAACTTCCCAGTAGGAAAAATCAAATGAAAAAAGACGGCAAAAGGAATGAAGATACACAGTAAATTTAGTTCACAGTAAAGATGTTTGCTTCAGTTTAATTATCAACTTATAAAACTACAAGGACGATGTTAAAATACAAACAGTTGTATGTTATTTATCGTGATATTTATCAAATATGGTTAGATGTTGAGAAAAATATATATTTAATTATAAAAGAGAATTAAAAATATTAAACACTCAAAAGTATCGAAAATTGGTACCGTTAAGTACTGGTATCGATTCGTAGGTACCGGAAATTAGTACCGGATCGATTCAAATGTCAAATGTACCCATCCCTATCTGTGACAATACAAGTATTAGTAGAACATCTGTCAGTATATTAAGAGGTAGCACATGAGAGCATCTTTTAACCATAGAAAGACCTCTACACATCCTGCGCACCACAGTACCAATGTGAATTGTCCATGATAATTTATTGTCAATTTCAATACCCAAAAGCTTAGTTTGTAATACCTGCTTACATGTTTTTGACAGTTAACTTCAATTTGGGTTTGCTCAATAGCATATATCTGGTACCAAAGACAATGCTTTTTGTTTTGCCAATATTAAACAACAACTTGTTATATTTTACCCTTTCAATCACAGATGTTAATTCCTCCAGTAGGACAAGTTGTAGTTCCTCAACTGTCTCCGTTGATGCATAGATTGTTGAGTCATCAGCATACATCGCAATTCTTGCTTCCTTTAAAACCACTGGCAAATCGTTTGTATATATAGAAAACAGGAGATGTCCCAGGCAACTTCCTTGGGGTATCCCACAATTAATTGCTCTTTCAGTTGAAAAGCTTCCATTAAAAAGGACTGTCTCTTTCCTGTTCTCTAAATAACTCTGTAGCCAGATAATTGCTTTTCTGTGGAGGGTACTTTGGGTACATGGGGTACCAGGCCCTCTGATACGGGCTGTTAGGTACCTGTATGACCGGTGTCAGAGCTTGGTTCGCATTGCCGGCAGTAAGTTGAGCTCCTTTCCGGTGACAGCTGGACTCCGCCAAGGCTGCCCTTTGTCACTGATTCTGTTCATAACTTTTATGGACAGGATTTCTAGGAGCAGCCATGGTGTTGAGGGGATTTGTTCTGGTTCCTGAGGATCAGGTCTCTGCTTTTTTGCAGATGTTGTCGTCCTGTTGGCTTCATCAGAACGTGATCTCCAGCTTTCGCTGGAGCGGTTCATAGCTGAGTGTGAAACAGCTGGAATGAGAATCAGCTCCTCTAAATTCGAGACCTTGGTCTTGACTCAGAAAGGGGTAGAATGCCTTCTCCGGGTCAGGGATGAGGTCCTGTCCAAAGAGGAGGAGTTTAAAGTATCTCGGGGTCTTGTTCATGAGTGAGGGGAAGCTGGAGTGTGAGATCGATAGGCGAATTGGTGCACACTTGTTAGTAAATATCAGTGTCACATAAACTACCAGCTGCAATTTTAAAAACTTTCAGTCACATTGCTGTAAAATAAGGTTGTTTTTGAAAATGTGTTGGAATTTAGGAAATTTTAAGACTTGAGAATAAAACAAGTTATAACAGCAGAACATTGTCATAAACCCTCTTTGCAGAAACCAGATAGATTTTAATGCTTATTTACTTTTATAATAATAATAATTATTATTATTATTATTATTATTATGACACTGGTACAGCTGAGTTCCTTTTTCTGGGTAATGTGTTAAACTCTATTTCTACAAAATGATAGGAGGAAACTGATAAAGGAGTGGCTGGCTCTGTGCTAAAGTCTTTACCTTGTAACTAGATATTTAAAAAAAATTGGTTTAACACTTAAAATAAAAAAAAATTCTCACTGAATGTAAAATTGTATTTTGATAGGTCCATTTTGATTTGGGGGCTTTAAAAGGAACTCCTGCTATGAGGACGCGTGTGCTCTAATAAGCCACACGTTTTCTGTTGTACCAAACTATGTTGTTAGAAACACAAAATATTGCTGTTTATTTATAAATCTATAATATTTAGCACATTTTTGGACATACGTAGGATGCCATGTTTTCCGCATGCTATGCACTCTGGGGGTGATGATGTATATTGGTTGCTCTTGGAAGAATAGCTATTGACGCTAGTGTTTGTTTACATGCTCACTGTATTAATAATGAAGTAAAATGCCGCATTGTGCTGCTTTTGGATGTAATTTCCAGTCAAAGAGCAACAAGGGGAGTGATGTGAGTTTACACAGCTGTAGAGTTAAATCTGCATACTGGAATCACCTCTGTTGCTATTCAGTGGAGATTCCGAAGAATGACCAATCAGATTAATTTATGAGGCTTAGATCATATATAAATACCCTGGATACCTATGTATGGCTGTTATGATCTTGAGCAGACATCTTGGCTCCTTGGGTTAATCTGTGGATCCAAAAGTACTGTTTGACCCAGCTTGACCCAGCTGGGCAAATGTGACCTTTGCCACAAATCAGAGAATCTGCATCACGCTACACAGCTTTCCCACTGGCAAGAAGAGGAGAAAGCAGTGGGAAGAGGCCTGTGGACGGACACAACTTCCCAAAGATCCGCGGTTGTGTTCCCAACATTTTTCTCCTGACGCGTTTGAGGCTTATAGTCGACCACAACGACTTAAAGAGCTCACCAGAGTGGCTGGGTGTAAGAGAAGGTGGAAACTAAATGCTTTAGCGACCATTTCCCCACACAAGGAGCCTAAAAGCCCTCGGAGAGACAAGAGATGCTGGATGCTCTCCTGAACCGACAACCCGCTCCTTCAGCTACCGCTTCTGTCATGTTCAGCCAAACATCGGACACGCCACTTGTCACGGATGTAGCTGAACGTTCACCTCTCCCATCAGTAAAACAAGCAGTAAGTGTAGCAACACAGTGTTGTCTACATATATAATATCTGCAATAGGGATGGGTACCTTTGACATTTGAATCGATCCGGTACTAATTCCCTGTACCTACGAATCGATACCAGTACTTAACGGTACCAATTTTCGATACTTTTGAGTGTTTATTTTAATTCTCTTTTATAATTAAATATATATTTTTCTCTATATATAACAATATTTGATAAATATCACGATAAATAACATTCAACTGTTTGTATTTTAACATTGTCCTTGTAGTTTTATAAGTTGATAATTAAACTGAAGCAAACATCTTTACTGTGAACTAAATTTACTGAGTATCTTCATTCCTTTTGCCGTCTTTTTTCATTTGATTTCTCCTACTGGGAAGTTAGAATTTCCGAGGAGAAAGCGAACGCACCATTAGCTGATAACAACGGCAACGGTGGCAATGGAAGCTAACATATTAAGCTAACGTTAACTTTAACAGTTTATTTAACTGCTGGAGCAGATTAAAACGATGATGCCTCACACTTAGATCGTTGTCGCTGGTTTCTTCTTCACCCAATCACCCGTCGCATTTAGTGAAGTGAAGCCAAACTTTAGAGCGCGTTCATGTTCTTCTAGGCGGAAATTCGGAGTTCCGAGGAGAAAGCGAACGCACCATTAGCGAAACGGAAGCTAACATATCAAGGTAACGTTATCTTAAACATTTGATTTACCTACCGGAACAGATTAAGATGAGGATGACTCACTTAGATCATTGTCGCTGGTTTCATCACCCAGTTACCCATCACATTTAGTGAAGTAGACCCAAGCGTTAGCGTGCGTTCTTTCTACCATGCTGCTCTGTTTACAACTCACTCGCAGGGACCGACGACATAACGCTCTTGCGCATGCGCAGCTGTCTAGGCAAGTTCTCGTTATGATGGACGGGTACCGAAAGGAGGCACCGTTTGAAACGACGTGAATCGGTGCTCGGTCGGTACTATGGAATTTGGTCGGTACCTTAAAAAGTACCGAATTCGGTACCCATCCCTAATCTGCAACAATGATTAAAGTGGTTTCACTGAACATCCTGATCATCTATGAAGCACACGACAGCTCTGGATGCTAATAATCTCCTAAATCATTCATAACTGAATAAGTTTGATCACACGAAAGCTTACCGTTAACTTCTGCTGACACAAATGTGAGCACTCTCCCTCTCGGTTACCATGGAGACACATTTATCGCACATGCACCACCGGTTTTGTCCAGCTCTCGCTTCATCCCGCCCTTCCTGCTCTTCATGTTGACTCTCGTCTTGTGAAACGTGGTCAGTGATGTCACCATTAATGTTTCACTCTGGTTCAAAGTGAAAAGGCTGAACAGATGACGTGTTGATGTCGCTGAACAATCACTACAGGGTCCCAAAGCCAACCGGTGCTACCGAGGTACAACCAATTGATGTCACTACCCAGAGTGCATTGCGATGCTAACAACAATGGCGACCTATGAGTTAAACTATTTTTACTAATTTTATAAAAATGAAGACATTAAGAAGGTTTTTTACACCATTTTAATATAACTGATACTAACATTTATCTTTTAAGAACCACACAGTTTTGTAACCTGGGTTCCTTTTAAACAAATTAAATTTAATAGGAAATGTTAAAGATGTCAGAGGGTTTTTTGTCATATTTATAAATGATAGATACATTTCCAGATCAGTGGTCCTCAATAGGCGGCCCGCAGACCGAACCCCCCTGTTTTGTCTGAAGTTAAACCAGGAGGGGACAGGTGCTGTGCTTCATTATATTGTAAGCTTGTGTGTTTTGTGCAGTACAGCAAGCGCTAGAAACACCCCCCCACCCCGACATTCCTACAGCACTGCCCCGGTCCGTACCTCTTGCTCCTGGGTCTGTTTGTTGAGTGGCCCTCGGACCATTATAATTGAGGACCCCCTGTTCTAAATGATATAAAACTGTTGTGTGGTTGGGTTGAGCTGCACATGTCATCTCCTCCTGTTTTCCTTACAGTGAAGGTGGTGGCTTGTTATGCAGACCTGGATGTGGTCGTTACTCAGGTATGAGAGGAAACTCAGCTGTCATTTGACTCAACATTTAACTTCTAACGATTCTTAGAAACTAGTGTTGGTGCCAGCATGGCCTTGCTGCCCCCTCTGCTCTCACCCTGCTTATCTAAACCCATAAAAACTAAATAAATGTTATCAGGTCTGCGGTTCAACGTCCACACGTATCCTTCCGCAGCTTGGTGCCAATCCCAGTTTCCTTGATGGTGAGAAGCTGGGACGGGGCCAGTCTGGGAAACTTGCCCAGGGAGGCACGCTGTACCTGGTGGACCAGAACCACCCATTCACACTCACCTTCTCCCTGAGCTCCAAAGCACAAGACCCCAACATGCCCAGGAGGAGCTTGAAAGCCACGGATAAGACCAATGGAGGGAGGAACGGGACGCAGAGGGATATTAAGCCCAGTCTCACGTCTAAACACAGTATAAAAGATTTCTTCTCCAGCTCTCCCTCTAAGGCAAAACATGGACAGGTATACCTGTTTCTGTCATGTTATTAATAATAGAAGGTATAAGACTTAATGTGTTTTTCTGAAGTTCTCTAAAAGGCAGCTGAGCCCAGAGAGCAGACTCCCTGAGGGCAAGCGGCAAAAGTTGGAGGAGGAGGAAGAGGAGAGAATCATCGAGGATAAGCTCAAACATCTGCAAGAGTTTGCTGAGAAGTCTGTGACAGATGAAAGCAAAGACGACCCGTCTCCATCGTTGGTGCGTGGGGGTGTGAGGAGCAGCTGGCAGCAGATAGGAGCCCTGATGGTTTACACTGCTGAGGGGGTCACAGGGAGCAGCAAGGTTTAAATTCACTTATTTTTACTGAAACCCTTTTTTGTTTAACCCCCCCACCCCCCCACCCACTGTCCTAATGGGTGACCCTGTGAGGAAAGTTTACCATTGAGCAGGGTTGATGGTTTATCTCTTGAGGTCCACGTGGCAGGGGTCAGGGGGTGCTCACTCCTCACTCCTGCCATGCGGACCTCAAGGGATAAACCATCAATCCTGCTCAATAGTCAACTTTCCCCGCGGGGTCACCCATTAGGACAGTGGGAGGGCTAATAGTTTGAATGCTATTACAGCATTCAAGCTAAAGTGTTCCCGTTTCTCTTTTTTATTATGTCTTCTTTTTTCTTCCATACATTTTTGGAACCGTTTCAGTGTTTCCCCTAGAAATGTTTCCACCCTTGGGGTGGGGGGGTGTCATAGTCGTGGCGCTAGAATTTCAGGCGCACCAGAACAGATGTAGGGGTAACACAACTACCTCAGATTTTCAGCTATTTCAGCAAATTTGGTATGAAAACGTTCAACTCGGTGAGCTCTTTCCTTGCGTTACATTTGGCATTGATATCTTTAAAGAGCAAGTCACACCAAAAGCAACTTTTTTTGTTGTTAACTTGTATAAATGAGTATCTAAAAGTGTTGTAGGCATATGTAGTCATTATTTTTGCATTTTGATGAATTTTCTTTGAAAACTCAAAATTCTGCCTAAAACAGTCGGTCTAGCCCATCTTCAGCTCAAAACTATAGAACACGTTTATTTTGAGTTGATTTAAATCAACTACACAGCTAAAGCTTCATTAGCTGCCTGAATAGAAACCTCGGGCTACCAGAGGTCCTTGCAGTTGTTTATGCAGTTTCACATTGTTTACAAAACGTAGACGTAGGCCTGTAGCGAAGCCTCGTCGAAGTCGACGGCTCGATTCTAAAAATTTGTCGATGTCAGATCCGGAAGTCGACGCACCGCGCCCACTTGTTGCATCCCCAGGAGTTTGTAAATAGAGGAGGAATCTGCCTGTTTTTCCTCTAGTTCGCCCTCTTCTCCGCCTTCACTAACATCTCCGCCAAATACCGAAGACCCGGAACAACGTCCGTCCACTACTAGATTATTTTCCTGTTTTGCCCCTTCGTCTCCCGGCAACGGACAACAACTTCCGGGGTCAGATGCGCTGCTTCGTGTCTATCGCAGATGTAGAAAATCACCGGGAGCGCTTCTCCCTTCATTAAGGAGCTTCTTTCAGACATGAGGAGAGCTGTTTTGGTGGTAGCAGTCTCTCCTCTGTGCTGGTCTGTTTGCTGCTGGGTGTTTTTGGTTTATTTTAACTTGGTAACTTGAACTTAATGTTGGTAAAGCTACTGTTAGCATCTTCGCTAACAGCTTCTTGCGTTGGGATAAGCTGTTACGTTTTGGTTTAGAGTTCATCTTTTTTGTGGTGTAGATCTCCCTTTTATTACATTTAGAGTGTTGTGGGTTTTCGGTTTAGTGTAAAATATCACCTGAGTTTGGTTTAACCCGTAACACCACTCGCCTCACGCACATAAGTGACCAAAACAAAGCAGCATGGAGACACTCCATCTTCTACCACCTCTCAGGCAGCAGCCTGCACTCCCAAGTTCTACACGTCACCAGAACATAACCAACCGCAACACAATAAAAGCAGTGTTATACAAAATGGAAGGCCTGTAGTGTTTATTCTCTTACAGTAAGAATTTATCAATTTTTTTGAGGAATTTATTTGAGATTTTCTGGTTTTTGTTAATTGTGCAATAGAAAAATAATCATTAGATTAATTTTCTAAATAGTCATTAGAATAGTCGACTATTCGATAAAATAATCGTCAGAATAATCGTTTTAAAAATAATCGTTTACCCCCAGCCCTACGTAGACGGTATGGTGTTTTATTAACATATTACAACTATAAAGAAAATATTTAGTGGGTAGGAAACAAGAATTTAACAAAACTGCTAAACTCTTTCCTAAACTTGTGCGTGAAAGCTGAGTGGATTTACTGAAGTGTGACGTCATCGGCAGCTGCAGCGGCAAAACCCGAGCCTATCTGGCGGGCTGAGCCGATCTGGCGGTACCTACAACGGTGGCAGCAAGTTGGACTGACGAGAGCAACTCGTGTGTGGATTAGAATGGAAAATACAGCCACTTCTGGAGATGAGGGGAACCGTGGTGAGGAGCTTGTGCCTCGATATGGATTGTCGTCCGTTGCGTGGAGTTGTTTTGGATTCAGAGCAAGTGATATGCAAAGAGTGTAGCAGAGTCGTCTGCCCCGCAGAGTAACACAACTAATTTGTTCAACCACCTGTAAAAACATCACAAGCATAAATATGAAGAATGCGTGAAAGCCAAAGCCAACGCTAATTCACAAAATCCTCGTCCCTGTCCAGCAGCAGCCCAGACAACCATTACAGAAACCCTGCAGTACCCCATCCATCTTCTTCATGAAGACACGCAGAAATAACAGGCGCAATATATTTTTATTTGGCCAAAGATGTGTCCCATCAATACAGTGAGCAATGAAGGCGTCAGAAAAATGATCCAAACAATACAAGAAATACGAGATTGCCTTGCATAGTTATTTCTCCAAAGTGGTGTTGCCTGCACTTGATGGAAAATGTCGGGAGGAAATATATTGAGAGATCTCAACTCTCGAGTTCCTCGCAGCCACGACTGACCTGTGGTCATGCAGAACAATGGAACCGTACGTGTCCTTGACGATTCACTACCTAGACGGTGATTTCCAAATGAAAAGTTGTGCTTGCAAACTTTATTATTCCCAGAAGAGCACACGGGAGAGGCAATAGCTTCGGGACTGTAGGAGGCACTGGCTTCTTGGAGCCTGCCAGAAGAGAGACTCGTCTGCATCACAACAGAAAGTGGGTCTAATGTCATCAAGCAGCCTCTCAATAAATGGACAAGACTTCAGTGCTTTGGCCATAGGCTCCAGCTAGCAGTTGGTGATTAGTAAGCTATGAATATAGTTATTAGGCTATTTATAATAAAAATAACAATAAATAACAGTCATAAATAGCCTACTATTGAAAATTGATTATGTGATTTATGTCGATCAAACAAAACTATTATGGTCTATTGGAATAGAACATTTTTTTAGAAAAGATCAAATAAAATATAGCACTTAGTTTGTTAAACAAATATATAACATTTGCCAATATGATGGAGAGGTGTCAATGGATTATTAATCAAATAATGTCTGAAAAATATTGGCAGTAGTGATTAGATGAACGCATACAAAGTTACTGTCTATTCTGTTCTGTTTTACATGAACATGATTTATATTCTTTTTATCGAGACGGTGTCAGAGTCCACGCCCCCAGGCCGGGTTCTCCCAGCTGACCGGCTTCTGTCTCGGACCATTACCCAGCATGCCCCTCGCGGGGATTCCCTCCACGTTGCACCTGCGTCATCCATGTCTATATATGGCAGACGCCACACCGGCTCTTCACTCAGTCATCGTTCCACCGTGTTCCATGATCAGAGTATTCAGAAGCTAAGACAGTTAAACCTCCACCTTTCTAACTCAGACCTCATCCTTCCGTCAGCCTTTTCAGCACCGCTTGCAGCCAGCAGTCTCTAATAAAAGCTCTTACTCCCGAACCCAGTCTTCGAGTCTGACAGACGGCAATGAAAGACCCACGGATTGACCGCTCGGTAAGGATGTGCAAACAAGCTTGTCAGCAGTTTTTCCCACAGCTGGAAGCGTCAAATGGAGCTAGCAAGAGCTCAAAAGGAGCTGAAGCTTCCAGAGCACGAAATGAAGACGGAACGCCCAACAAGGTGGGGAGTCCAGGCAAGCAATGATCGCAAGAATTCTGGAACAGCAGAGGGCCAGTCTTATCACAAGTCTTATCTTCTGACTGAAAAACAAGGCACCTCGTCCCAACATGGCAGGACACTGATGTCCTGAAGCCATCAACGAAGCCCTTCAACCTCCGACTGAGTTTACTGATGCGCTGTCCAGTGAGAACAACCAGTCGTTCATCTGTTCAGCTCCTGTATCCTCAACATAAGTAAAGATGTTGCAGACCTGACCCACACCATCAAAACCAGAATCCTCACTTACCTGGAGGAAAATACAAGGATCCAGTGACACTAGAACTGCTTGACATGGCCTCTGCACTTGATCCACGCCTCGAGCTGAGATATGTTAGTGAGGACAGCGCTGCATCAATCCATGAAAGAATTCTGTCTGAGGTGGCTGCCTTTGCAAGCATAGTGAGGAGTGATTGTGAACACATTAGATACTGATTTAAAAATACATTAAAGATATTAAGTGGATTTTAATATGCTGAGAGGACATTGTTATGCCGTAATCTGAATTTGGACTTTTAAATATGTTTTATTACAAAGATTTTTTGTTTATACTTCCTTTACAATGTACTTTTCAAAGAAACCGGCCCAGCGGATACAAGTGGGGGTCTGTTGAGGATGCACCCAGTACATCTAACAAAAAAGACCTTGGGGAGCTTCTTCAAGGTCACGGGGGCAACAACACTGAGACAATCTCCTTACCAGGAACAACAGACTGTTGCCTCTGAGCTCCAGTCTTACCTACAGTGTGCCAACCTTGGTGGAAGGAACATCATTCAAAGCTTGCTCAAAAGTACTTTTGCATTCCTGCAGCAAGTTCGCTGTCGGAGAGGGTCTTTAGCACTGGGGGAACTGTAGTGTCCCGCCTTTGCTCATCTCTCAAGCCAGATAATGCTGACAGACTGGATTTTCTTGCCAAGAACCTGTAGGCCTAACTTCCTCGGCCTTTTGTGTATACGCTGTAATTCTTTCCGTTAAGTTGCTCTTTGAGATTGCTCTCTGCAATAACATGATTAGTTAGCACTTTGGAGAGTTTTTGGGAGGGGCTTTTCATTATTTAAAATCTATTCACAAGTTCCATTGTCCACAGAAAAACGTTGCTACGTTGTTTGTAATTGGTGCAATAAAAATGCATATTTTACCAGATAGGACGAATGATCGTGATTAATAATTGTAGTGTTTGGACTTTATTATTTTTGTTAATAATTTTTACTTCTAAATCTTTAAATATTTTTAGCTCTTATTGACAGTTTAGCTTAGTTTCTGCTTCGGATCAGCTTTTCAGCAGCTTCGGCTATCGGTTTCAGCTATCCAGCATTCAAACAGCGTTTCTGCAATAAATACAATTCATCTACACTAGTTTAAGAATTAATTTCAGGGGTCTATCTGGTGCTTGGAAGACCTTGAAAGTGCTTGAATGTTTGTAAAACTGCGTGAAACTATAACTGAAACCCTTCGTGGCACAAAAAACATTTAAATACTGATAAATCACCTGTGAAAATTAGAACATTTGAACCTAGTGTTCATTAGTGTGGTTTTGTGTGTTCTGCTGCAAACTCAGAACTCACCCGTCTGTGTTCTGCTGCAGATTGCTGGGTTTGACATTGACGGCTGCATCATCACCACTAAGTCGGGGAAGGTGTTTCCTACAGCTCCTGATGACTGGAGGTACATTTCCTAAATGCACCTGTTCATTTCTAATGACGATGCTCAATCCTGATTTTCTCTCTTTTCATTTCCTTCTGTTGAGTTAACCCCTTAACATTCCTGGGAACGTGATGTGTGGACGTTGGCATGCTAAGTGGTTTTAAACGTCTGCTATCAGTTTCTGCATCTAGGTCACTATGGTAACGGAGTCCAAGCCACATAAGTGTCTGCTGTTAGGAATTGTTTGATTGGTTCTTTCTGAGGGAAAGAGGCATTAAGTGATGCTTGAAACTTTTGCTTTTATTGACCAGGATTCTGTTTCCTGAGATTCAGCCCAGACTGGCCAGTTTGCTTAACAAAGGACACAAGGTAGGAAACTGCCGTGGCTGCCGGTGACACCTGTTGGAACATGACTGCCCCAGCGGCATCCTGTCCTTCTGCAGGTGGTGTTCTTCACCAACCAGATGGGGATTGCTAAGGGAAAACTCTGTCCAGAAGTCTTTAAATCTAAAGTGGAGGACATCCTGGCTGCCCTACAGCTGCCTGTGCAGGTGGGTGGAGCTGCTGGCTTACTCTGATGGATGTGAAGCAGCTTTGGAGTTACTACAACACCCCCCCCCCCCCCCCCCCCCCCCCTCTCTCTCTCTCTCTTTCAGGTGTTTGTTGCTACCGGTCCTGGTATTTACAGGAAGCCAGTGATGGGAATGTGGAAATACCTGTGTGAGGAGGTTAGCAGATGGACACACACCCTCTAAATTAGCAGCCCTACCCTCAACACATAAATATGTAACAAGACAGGCTGCACCCAGAGTCATTAATCAGCTCCACCCAGGCAGAAATGCACTCCAATCATAACTCACACCAAGGCTTTCTGTTGATTTAGCGTGTTTCTAACCAGATGCTTGACATGTTTGCACATCTGTTCAGGCTAATGATGGTGTGACTGTTGACAAGACTCAGAGTCTGTATGTTGGAGGTAAGTGAGCTCCATTTTTGTGACTAAAACACTTATTTTCATCAGCAAATTCTTCAATTTGTAGGATAAAACATGTTTTAGATGTTTTACTCTGATCCTGGTCTGAGATCAAGATGTAACCATCCAGGTTATTGTCCGTTTAGCCACTCAGCTACAGGCTACAAGGCTTTAGATCAGGAGGAGGTGTTTTCCACACGTGCATCATGTTAGAGAACCGGAGTTTCCAATGCTTCACACTCAGTTTGAGTCTCTGAGCTCCTGTGGAGGGATTCAACGGGGGCTTCATGCCATTTAGAAGTTTTGCAGAACAACCTGCATGCAGAGCAGCAGCGGCCATGCAGGATTTGCCTAAACCTGCAGCTTAGTGGCCCTGGAGCACCCGGAGGGTGGTGAACATGTTTGTGCATATCTGATGATGCTCATAATCAAACACAACCTGGCTTCACCTCTGTGCCCAGATGCTGCAGGCAGACCGGAGAACTGGGCCCCTGGCAGGAAAAAGAAGGATTTCTCGTGCAGTGACAGACTTGTATGAGCCACAGCGACCGTTTGGGTTAATGGATAATAATAAATACACGTCACGCCAATACTAGACAACACTTCTCTATTTCTGTCTGTTGCAGTTTGCTCTGAACATCGGGCTGCAGTTCCACACACCAGAGGAGTACTTTTTAGGCTGGAAGAGCGCCCCCTACAGCCTGCCTTCCTTTGACCCTGTAAGCAGCGTGTAGGAGTTCCCAGACCAGACCAGATGTTGGTAGTTGTGTGATGCTCGGTTTGGAGTTGGTTTTCTTCTCGTTTGAAAATGATTGTTGTCTGAGTGCATCCTCCTCCGTTGGTCACGATCAGAGCTGTCCTCATGTTTAGGAACATTTCTACGCACAGCAAAAAGACGGAACACAGAGTGTAGAATTGTTCCTACGCACAAACCTCATTCAGGTCTGTGTGTAAGGACGGGTGGTGACTGAGGGCCCAGGACTGCAGGTTGTGGCCGTTCCTAACCCACAACAGGTTTTGTTTCTTGCCCTTGAAAGTGAGTTAAAAGGTGGAAGTAGTTTTAGCAGCAGCAGTTTGTTCTGGAGCAACACAGAAAAGAGGAGAATCTGTACAGAGGAGGTCCCACAGCAGACATCGTAGCTTACTTTTGACCTCCAGCTGAACCCCTCCGAGCACAGGTGGGGGTCGGGACAGACTATGTGGGTTTATTACTGGTGTATTACACAGAAGTAGGAACTCTTCAGCAGGAACGTCCGCTGATTCGGTTCATGTGTACCCAGAGTTTGGACTTTAACTGGTGTTTTTCTGAATCAGAGGAAGCTGGACTCCACCCGCAGGCTGTCGGACCCTCCATCCGCCTCTCTCACCTCTACGGAGACAGAAGTCATTGTTGCCGTGGGTTACCCTGCAGGTGAGTCACTCATCTAGACTCCTCTCCCTTCCACCAACACCCTGCTGACCTTCGTTCTTTTCTCTACAGCTGGTAAATCCACCTTCTTCCACACCCACATTATTCCCAAGGGCTACGTCTACGTCAACAGGGTGAGGAGATCAGACCCGCACCTCCCAGATTTATTATGATGACAGTGAAGTTTGCTATGTTGTAAACAGTAGTAATAATTCCCTGTGTGGCAGTATTATTGTTGTCTTTTCTGTGTTTTTGCCCCGCCTGCTGCACCAGGACACACTCGGGTCCTGGCAGAACTGTGTGTCGGCTTGTGAGCGTGCGCTGAAGGAGGGCCGCAGCGTTGCCATAGACAACACCAACCCAGACCCGGAGTCCCGCAAACGGTAGGTTCTGGTACTGTGTGTGTGTGTGTGTGCGTGTGTGCGTGTGTGTGTGTGTGTGTGTCAGACCACTGCCAGCCACGATGTAGCTCATCACCATCAGTGTGTGGACGGATGACTCTAGTGTAAAGCACTATGGAGTCTGACTCGTTAAGCTCTATGACTACGTTTACATGCAGCCAATATCCGGGTTATGATCGGGTTACGGTCGGGATTCGGGTTTCTGAGTTGATCAGAATAACCCGTTTACAAGCATAAACAGAAAGAGTTACCTCTAACTTGTATAACCCGATTTAAATGCGGACGTTGGGGTAGCGTCAGGACGTATGGACTACGTCCAGACGCAATATGCGTCATTTCCGGTTCTTCTCGTTCCGGTATCCGTGAAAACAACAACATGTTTCCCAGTTTGGAAGAGATAGCGACCGCGTTTGTTTGCGCTTTAGTTTCCTCGTCACTCCAAAAGTGTGGTGCTGTGCCGCGACTCGCCATGTTGCTCCCAACTTGTTGTTTACTTCCGGTGTTCTGGCGCATACAAGACGTCTCGCTACTCAAAAGACCAAGATTCCTTGCGAACAGAGCATGTGCAGAACACACGCTTTGATGGGGATATCCCGATATGCGTTTACACGACCAAACATTCGGGTTAGAAAAGGGTTACCCCAGGTGTAGTAGCCGGGTTTTTAAAAACCCGGTTATGAGCATATCCATGTTTTTGGCGGTGTTTACATGGACCTGCAGAACCGGGTTATTGTGAATATTCGGGTTTTAAAAGGGTTATTGGCTGCATGTAAACGCACTCTATGTGATGGTCATGTTTCCGGCTGACTTGGTTGTCTCCGGGATCGGAGATCCGTGTTTAAAACGGTTTATCCTGTTGTTACATAGACGGTGGAAGTATTTATATTTGTTCTCTTTTATTGTGGAACTATTTTCAGTACGTATCAGAGGCCGTTGTTACCAGGTTGTTTTCTGCAGGTATGTAGGCGTGGCCAAAGCAGCAGGGGTGTCGTGTCGCTGTTTTCACTTCACGGCCACTTTGGAACAAGCCAAACACAACAACCGAGTACGATTCCTGCTTTCCTTTCTCCCATCACTCACGTTTATTCTGGTTCTGACGGTGTGGTTCTCGTTCCCAGTTCCGTGAGATGGTTCCGTCTGGCAGCAAACATGCTAAGGTCAACGACATGGTTTTCCACAGCTACAAGTGAGTGAAACGAGCCTGAAATAGTCCAGTAAAAGTGTCTGCCCAAGCTTTGAGGTAAAGCTGATCTGTTTCAGGAAACATTTTGTGGCCCCTGCTCTGTCGGAGGGATTCTCTGAGATCCTTCAGATCCACTTTGTTCCACACTTCAAGGACAACCAATCTGAGACTCTGTTCAGACAGTTCTCAGAGGGCTGATGGACTCGCCAACACCTCCGCAATATAATCAACCCTGCAGAGCTCCACTGGTGAACTTATGAAGTGATGTTGGCTAGATTTGTAGCTCAGAATCGGGCTTATTTTGACAAGGACGCAAGAAAATAAAGAGATGTTTATCTAATCATGTATGGCTGTGTTCAGTTCAGTAAAACAACAAAGGCTTTGTGAACAAAATAAAGATATGTTAATAAAAGTCTTCCTGACGTTCGATGCTTGCTTTAAATTCTGGATGCGTTTGGGATAAAGGTCTGATGAAACATTTGTCATTTTCTAAAAGATAAACATTTACATTTTAAAAAGACTTAGCTTAGCGCCCTCTTTGACAAAAGGTCAAACTCAACCAGGTATGAGTTGACGGTGAGAGCTGTTGCTGTTTTTCTGTGTTCGACTGATAGATAATTTTAATCTATGTTCGGTAATTTACTTTAGCATTATTCACTATTATGTTGCGTATTTTAATTTAGCATTGTTCTTATATTACCTTAAACTTAAATTACCTTAAAGGAAGTCAGAACACCCACACAGAGGGATTAGATTCTTAAATTTAGTAAACTGTAACAAACCTATTAAACAGACAAACTCTGCAAAGTGTAAACTCTGTAGAGGGTGAGAGAATCAGACCATACAACACGGAAGCCATTTTCCTCTCACAAAGGAGCCGGGAGCTCATGGAGGGGTTTTTATTGAATCCAAAATGTTCACACCCACAAATACCATTAGCGTGCAACCCCTGCCTGACCAGTTTGGAATAACATCTTGGTCTTAGAATGCACAGGAAAACTTCAGATACTGGATCAAAATGCCTAAAGCAGAAAGGAGTTTCCTAAAACACCCAAACGTGAAAACAAATAAGTAGGTCAGGGTTTTTCCTAACCACATTTAAGCAGCAAAGGTGAATGAACTCTTCACATGGACAAAGGAAAAGATTTCACAACAATAATGAACAATTAAAAATACCTAACATCGACTGTAAACTCGCAGATGAAAGTAAGCTGTGGAAGTGGCAGCCCCCACCATCCAGATCCAGTAATCAGAAGACGATCATGATTAGATGTTAAACGGCGCTCCAGTTAGCTACATTAAAAGAAAATGAAACGCTTTCTTCAGGCTCCCTCCAGACTCTGATGGTCACAGAAAAGGACACAACACCAGAGGCAACAGATGCTGTCAGTGAAACCTTCATATCTGTGATTTGGGACCTGTAGTTGGTCCCTTTTCTGCCATAGTTCTAAACATAACACACCTACATAACTATGACAACTTGGCATGCTAGCATAAGTAGCGTGTGGTGTTTTCATGGTGAGAGACGAAAGTTTTCGATTTAAAGAGCAAGTCACTCCAAATCAACATTTTTTTTTGCTGATAAACTATATAAATGAGTGTCTGATCGTGCTGCAGACACGTGTAGTCAATAATTTGGCAGTTCAGTGCATCTTAGTTAAAATTTAAATATTCTGCCTAAAACTGTCAGTGTTGCACCGTCGTCAGGTAAAAACTCTGCACTGCATTTGAATTTAAAGAGCAAGTCACCCCCTACTAGAAACTTACTTCACTCTCGCTTCATGTTTGAAAAATGCAACAAATGCTGTTGCCAGGCAGACCGAGAGGGCGGAGTCGCTAGCAAACACATGCACACACAGGCTCACAATGGCATTATGACATCATAATGTACCAGTTTACATCATAGCATACTTCTTAGCCTATAGAGGTGGCAGATTTAAATTCAAATACAGTGCAGAGTTTTTACCTGACGACGGCGCAACACTGCCAGTTTTAGGCAGAATATTTAAATTTTAACTAAGATGCACTGAAGTGCCAAATCATGGACTACACGTGTCTGCAGCACAATTAGACACTTGTTTACATAGTTTATCAGCAAAAAAGTTGATTTGGGGGTGACTTGCTCTTTAAATCTGCCATCGCTATTGGCTAAGAGGTACACTATGATGTTAGATGGTACATTATGATGTCACAATGTCATGAGTGTGTGTGTATTTGTTAGCGTCTCCACCCTCTCGGTCTGCTAGGCAACATTTGTTGCATTTTTCAAACAGGAAGTGGGAGTTGAGTAAGAATCTGGCAGGGGGTGACTTGCTCATCAGAGCAGCTCAGTGCCACCAACAACAGGTCAGAACTTTAAGAACACACACACGTTGCCAAGACAACAAACGGTTCTATACCCAACAGTTGCCATTTCTCAATACACCATTTCTAAGTACACAAGGAGGCTAGTACGTTCTTGTGTACTTGACAGGTTCATAGCTAGTACAGCAGAAAGTCTGCTCTACTGAGGACGAGAACTAAACCGCACGTCAAGGCAACAAGCGCTGCTGCAGTTAAAGAAATGATTTAAAATTTAAAGTCTAGTTTGTCCTTCAAATAAAATTAATTAAATGGGGGAGAGTGGGGTAAGTTTAGCCCTATGAGTAAACTGACCAATGTACAGTTTCTAGGTTAAACCTGTCATTTAGAATTATCCTAAACGAAACTTAAAACTATATAAACAAGTCTAATTTAAGTGTGCTGTTCAAAAATATTAGGTAACACTTAATAAGGGTTCCTTTATTAAAGAGCAAGTCACCCCCAAATCAACAGTTTTTTCTGATGAGCTATATAAATGAGTGTGTAATCGTGCTATAGACATGTGTAGTCAATAATTTGGCACTTTAGTGCATCTTAGTTGAAGCTTCTTTCCGGAGTATTTCTCGTATCCGATGGCACCATCTAGTGGCTGTCAAGCATTTCACACATAAATTCTGTTGCTTTGTTTTTTTAAGATGGCGACTTCACGTTTATGTTTATAAATGTGCTTCTGTAGCCGACAAACAGCTAAAACACGCTGTTTTACGAGTATTATTCTCATGTCATGTTGTGTTCTCATATATTTATATTTTAGAGACATTCTTGTCTGTTCATCAACTCTGCATCAGCTGAGGTATTCCTTAAATTTGAAGCAAGTAAGTGGTAGTCTAACGCTATATGTTAGTTCTGGTCGGCGCTCAGTTTCCTATTGCACGGAGCTCTGCGGATGGGGGGGGGGGGGTGCTTAGCAAAAAAAAAGACGTGTCGCTTACATTTTATTACAGTACACGATAAGATAATCACTGATACGGATTACGTACTTCTGACAAATCATAGTTAATTTCTGAAAGGGGAAAACTCCGGAGAACAACTTTAAAATGTAAATATTCTGCATAAAACGGACACTGTTGTGCCCTCTTCTGGTATAAACTCTGCACTACATTTGAATTTAAATCTGCCATCGCTATTGGCTAAGGGGTGCCTTATGATGTTAGCTGGTACAATATGATGTCAATACCCCTGTGAGTCTGTGTGTGTGTGTATTTGTTAGCGGCTTCGCCCTCTCAGCCTGCCAGGCAATGCCTCCTTGTGGTGCATTTTTCAACAGGAAATGGGAGTGGAGATAGAATCTGAGTGATTGCTCTTTAAAGTTAAAACAAAGGGCTGGGGGGTGTCTGCTTAGTGATGCATTCCTTAATATTAACATTACTATTAAGCAGCTGTTAATTCTTTACTAGTTTATCAATGCCTAATAATGCAACAAGTAGCATTAATAAACGGACCCATATGTAAAGTGTTACCAGACACATTAGGGTTAGGGTTCCACCCCTCAAGGTTGCAGGGAAATATGAATTGCTGACAAACCCAAAGCAGGTTTTTGTGAAGTAACTGGACAATAGAGTGCACGTCACCTTAGGAGCACTAAAAACAGCCCAATTTTAAGGCAGTGTAGGAGCCAAATATGTTGTTTCCTTTTCTTTGGTCTTGATGTTTTAATTGAAATGTGGGCGTGTCATTATTACTGGTTGGAATAAAGGTAGTGATGTCACTGTTGGCGTCAGACACTATTCCGGAAGGGCAAACAGGTTATTGACCGCTGTGGTGTGAAGACGTTTGAATGGGAAAGTAAGCGAATTACTCCTATCATTGTTTCACCTGGAATGTAATCAACATTAAACAAGAAGCATTAGCATAACAATTCCACGCTTAAGGCTGTTTTTTAAGCAAATAGTAATTTAATTAGTCAAAATCGGATAAACACAGCGCGTCAGCCAGGTCCCGGTCTAACAGCCTCAGAAGTTCGAGTACTGGGCTTGACTTCTACAGGCAGAATAGTGTCTCCTAGTGAGAGTTCTACTTGTCTTGTTATATTTATTTCATCAGTTCCTCTTTTGAAATTTGTCTCGACATCAAGGCTCTATCAACGCATTTAACTCTTAAATACCTTACTTGTGATCCAGCATACCGGTACAGCCCCTGACCTTTGAGTGGACGGACCCGGCTCGTGCTCGCAGAGGCCTTACTTTCATAGGGAACCAGACTGGACTATTCAAAGTGGGTCTAGTTCATGGCTTACCTCTTGCTGGTTTGGACCCAGGGATTGTGCTGGCCAGGTGAGGTCTCTCCACACTCTCCTGTTTTCTGGATCCCACCGAATTGGTGGCGAGGGGTATCGTAGAATTCTGATGTGCAGCAGAGCTTGCAGATTCAGATCCAGAGATGCTGCACAAGCCTTGTTGATTCCAGCCGGCGTCTGGGCTTAGGAGTAAAGGGTTCAACCTGAGCTAGGCTTAATCTCCCCTTATGAGAAAGGAGCAATCAGCTATACAATTATCTAAGTAGTTTTGATGAGTAAAATAACTCGCAGGAGACGATGTTTGTCTTTTGGGTTCTAATAAAGCGACCCTTTAAGTAAATCAAGAAATTTCAACACAGCTAAATCACCCAGAAGGCCACGGCAAAAATGATGAAGAAAATCAGCAAATCCATATAAAGTATTTTTTGTGAGTTTTGTTATTTTGTCTTTTTTTTTTTTTTTTGGTTAGTTAATGTAAAACAAGTAAAATCATTCCACTTCTAGTAAAACATTAGCATGTGTCTATTTAACTAAAGTTAAATGCAATTCAAACTAAAGCATACAATCTAAATATGAGATTATAAATCAAATATCAAACTGAAAGAATGTAAAATTAAAATGTGTTTAAAATCAAGCAGTTAAACAGGCTCAAAATTCAAAAGATGAAAACAAGTCAAATTATAAACTGAAGGCTATTATGGGAGAAATGTTAAGCAATTAAGATTAGCAATTAAAGGGGTGTAAAATTAAGAGTAATTGAGTTATTTTACAATTAGGAAAAATAATTTATTACGTTTGGACTAATTTTAGTATTTTACATCCCCTATAGT